CCCACATTCTTTTTTTTTCTCAATCATCTTTATTTATTTTTTAATGATTCAGTTGTCATACACTTGCTTTTTAACATCAAAGCCATGATTGCTTTAACGATGTGGCTGATTAGAGATTCAAGCTTCAGATCGGTGATGACTTTAGAGGTAGATGGCCTTGTTAGGCCCTATCTGGTCTTTACCATGCCTTTCAACCCTCAGCCTATATGCATCATTATTTTTAACTTTGAACATGTGCCAAGTTGAAGGTGTCACAAAATCTCTATTTCCATCATTGTTTGCTTATTCATCACGAGGCAATAGGAATTGAGCCAGGTTGCTCTTGGTCTTGGTGCCCCATAAATGGCTGATCTCTTTAGCCGCATCATGTACCATTTTTAATTTTTGACAGTTCATTTATACGTTTTGAGAATTATCAACTTAGCAAATCATCGACTGTGAAGATAATTACATTCTCCTTAAAGTTCATGTCCTTTAGGTCTACTAGATCATGTAATTTTAGTCTTGGATTATTACTTTGAGTAAATCCTTGGCAACAAATTAGGGGATGTCGACCGACATGGTGTTTGATCAGAGGGGTATCATGTGCTTTCTTTTTCTTATTGTTTTTTTATTCATGTTGGGGCCCTCTTGATAGAAGATCTCTAAGCAAATCTCTAGGTGCTTATTGGATAGGCTTTTGCTTTGAGATTTAAGTTTTCTAACCAACATGACAGATAGTTGATGGATCTTTGAGAAACTGCTCAAATGTTACACTCCAATGCTCATTGAGCAGGGCTTGATCAATGAAGGTGTTCCTTATGATAGTTCTACTTAAAAATATAAACTCTTAAAATTTGAGTCCTTTTATTGTAGATTTGTAAGTACACTCCCTATTTTTTAGCTTTGTAGGGGTTGATTAACGATTAGTTTTGGGCATTATTGTTGTTCCTCTCATTATAAGCTTTTAAAATCTTACAAAAATTGAAAGAGAGCACTTCTTAATTTATCTTATAGTTCAGCTAATTGAGTCTTCCTTGATGAATGATTTGAGTTTGTCAACTTAAGTATTATGGTTTGATCCTCCATAGAGCGTTGAACCCTTTATCAATGGAATTGCAAGCACCAACTTTGAGATTTGAGATGTGGTCCACTGAATTGGCTTTGGATGTTTGTCCCACCTTTAAGCATTGGCCTTCCTAAATCACTAAGAAAATTTTTCTTTGGATGTGGAAACTTCTTCTTCATATGTTTTTATAAAACGTCCAGGCCATGATTACACTCCAATATATGGGTAGAAAACTTCCATGGATCAACCGAGCTCACCTCAGAAGAGCTTAGCTAAGAGGTGAACTCATCCAAGAAATGCCCTCTTCAGAGGGTGACCCATTCCATTAAGATTCAACAAGGGCAGACACTTTTCCCAATGATGCTTGCCTCAAAGAAACGTGACAAGGAAGCACACAACCTGGGCATTTTTTATTGAGGGAGTCACTTGGCTCAATAGGCCTCAACCAAAGGAGATACTTGCCTCATAAGAAGTCAGCGTAAAGAAAGACTTACCCTAGCCATGCTGACTTGCCTCTCTCAGAGGGCCTCTCATCCAAATTATAGGAGATGTACACATACTAACCTCACAGTAACAAAATTGTAAGTCATACTAGAGTCTCCAACTCAAAGGAATTTTCCAAAGACGCCCGCCTAAGGTATTCACTCGAGAGAACTCACTCATGATACTTGCCTAAGAGGATTCACTTATGACACCCATTTGAGAAGTATTGGCCAAGAACATTTTCCATAGGTATTTACCAGAGGCAGGAGCTATTACTTGTGTTCAAACGCAAGGTGGATTGACCAAGTATTTCCCTATTTCGGTTGGGTTACATCAAGGATCAGCCTTAAGCCCATATCTTTTTTCTTTAGTCATGGATGTTCTCACTAGACATTTGCAAGAGAATGTACCTTGGTGTATGCTTTTTGCTGATGATATTTTTCTTGTTGATAAGACTAGAGAGGGAGTTGAAGGTAAACTTCAATTATGGAGGTCAACCTTAGAGTCTAAAGGTTTTCGGTTGAGTAGATCTAAAACAGAATATATGGAGTGTAATTTTAGCAGTAATAGTCCTAGTGAGGGGATTGTGACTTTGGACGATCAAGTCATTAATAAGAGTTGGTCACATAAAACGGCGGCCTTCTGATGACCCGGTTAGGAGAGTAGAGGTATTAGATTTGACTTATGTTAAGAAAGGTAGGGGTAGACCTAAAAAGACTTGGTTAGAAAATATTAGGAATGACATTTCTTTATTAGATTTAAACGAGAATTTAACTTTTAATAGGACACAATGGAGAAAAAGGATTCATGTAGCCGACCCCACGTAGTGGGATAAAGGCTTGATGTTGTTGTTGTAGTTAGAGCCATGTCAGATATGATTGTCCGCATGTACAAGCTATGGACTAGCTCAGGCATCTGTGACAATCTATAATCATTAGTAATTTATTATTTATCATTAGTCCTCTTGATAGCAGATCTCTAGGTGCTCACAAGTTAGGCTTTTGCTTTGAGATTTAAATTTTCTAACCAACAAGACATATTGGTGATGGATCTTTGAGAATAGTGCTCATATGTTGCACCACAATACTCATCGAGCAACGTTTGATCAATGAAGCTGCTCCTTATGACAGTTCTACTTTAAGATAGAAACTCTTAAAATTTGAGTTCTTTTATTGTAGATTTGTAAGTACACTCAGTTTTGTAGGGGTTGATTAATGATTGCTTTTGGGCATTATTGTTGTTTCTCTCATTATAAGCTTGTAAAATCTTGCAGATATTGAAGGTTTGCACTTCTTAATTTATCTCATAGTCCAACCAATTAACTCTTCCTTGATGGATGATTTCGGTTTCTCAACTTAAGTATTATGACTTGATCCTCCATAGAGCATTGAAGTCATTATTAATAGAACTGCAAGCACCAACTTTGAGATTTGAGATGTGGTCTACTAAATTGGCTTTGGATGTTGGTCCCACCATTGAGCATTGACCTTCCTAAATCTCTTTAAGAATTTTTTTTCTTTGGAGGTGGAAGCTTCTTCTTCATATGTTTTTGCAAAAAGATGTACTCCAGACAATGGTTACACTCTAATATGTGGGTACAAGCAACTTGCATGAATAAGTCGTGCTCACCTCAGAGAAGCTTAACAAAGAGTTGCACTCATCCAAAAAAGCCCTCCTCAGAGGGAGATCCATCCCAATAAGAGTCAACAAGGGAAGACACTTGCCCCAGTGATGCTTGCCCCAGAGATGCTTGCCCCAAAGAAGCTTGACCCAGGAAACACATAGCCTAGACATTTTTTATTGGAGTGACTTGCCTCAATAGGCCTCGACCAATGTAGATACTCGCCTCATAAGAAGTCATCTTAAAGAAAGACTTTGCCCAGCCATGGCGATTTGCCTCTCTCAGAGGGCCTCTCATCCAAACTTTAGGAGAAGTATACATACTAACCTCGCAATAACGACTTCATAAGTCATACAAGAGTCCCCAACTCAAAGGAACTTGCCAAAGACAAGAACTCACTCACACAGGACACTTGGCCGAGAGGATTCGTTTATGGCACCCGTCTAAGATGTATTGGCCAAGAGCATTTGCCATAGGTATGTACTGGAAGCAGCCAGAGCCACGTCAAATATGGGTGTCTACGCATAAACATCATAGACTAGTTTAGGTGTTTGTGATAATCTATAATCATAAGTCATGTATTATTTATTATTTTTTTGGTTGTAGATTTTTTTTAGCCCTCTTAAGCATGTAAATAAGTGGTTGAAAAGTTTCTTTGGAGGCATAAACATGATTATGTTATTCTTACTATTCATAGAAAATAGTTAATTCTAGAGTTCTTCTCATTTCTTGCCCACTCATTCTACTCTTTTCTTGCCGTCTGCCTTATTAGATTCGCCATAGAGCTGTCTCCCACAAACATATTTGAATCCAACAATAATGTTGTGAATTTGTAATTTTATACATATATTTGTTTATGCATAATTTATGTATTTTGTGAATTTGTAAGTTTGTAAATATATTTGTTTATCCATAATTTATCTATATATTTATATTTATTATGATAATCTCAATTGTAAGTTTAGATTAAAAAGAAAAAGATAACATGCTTCACTGATATCAATTCAAAATCTATTGTTTTCGTATCTGCTCAAAATTGAACCAAGTAATTTGAAATCTTCGAACTTGGGTTATAATTAATTTGCTAGAACTTGGGTTTTATCAATGCCAGGTAGGTGTTTCAGGTAGCCTCCAGACCCATTGCCTACATGTTGGGAAACCTTATAACAGGGCGTTCTTAAATGTGTCGCATGGAAGAAGGAATCTTTATGTTATGCTACTAGAAATTGATGGCTTATTCACTAATATTTTAATATTGAAGTGCGTCATTTGGCATCCTAGGGAGGTACTAATGCCTTTTCTGCCAACCTTTAAGGGTGGCATCCGATGGAAATTGTCCTTATTCACTTACTTGAGCATCCCAGACCTCTGTTATTTTAATGTAATTTGGACAACATGTAAGAAACCTGGATGAAACCTTGACTACATGCTTGCGGCCTCATTTTGTTAACCATCTTATGATAGCATAATTTCAAATGCCTGTTCTACACAATATTGACAATGACATCTTTGTAATAGTATTTGCATTTGTAGTGTTGTATGAAGTTTCCATTGTGGCCTTATAAAATAAATTAATCTATTAACACTATTTATATATTATGTCAAACTTTTATAGATTTCTTGTTCTATTTTCTTTGTGTTTTATCTGTTATGCAAGTCAGTGAAGGCTCAATATTTTTACTTATGAGATAATATTAATAATTTCAACCAAAAGCTCATATTTTAACTGTTTAGTGATCTTGAGTGGTGATGGAACTGTACCACTTTTCTCCATTCCATGCAATTCCATCTAAAATATCAAGTGTTTCAACCAAATGCTGAATTTTTATTGTTTTTTTATATCTTCAGAGTGATGATGGAACTGTACCACTTTTCTCTATTCCACGCAACTCCATCACAGAGAATCCATTTACAAGCCTGCTGCTTTGTTCTTGTTCACATTCAACTATTAACAAAGGTGACCGATCTGCTCTTCTTTGGAGTCAACAGCTAGCAATTGAGGTATTTGAACTTTTACCATCTTATTACAATAATCTCAATTATGATTTCTTGCATGCATGTCATAGTCGAGCTGTCCTCATATACTTAATCACCATTTGTAAGGTATTTCTTATCTAATAGATAATGTACAAATTCACTTCAATTAGCCACCTTAATTTCAAACGGTTCCAAAAAGTTCACATCTAACAGCTAGCCCTACTTTGACTATGTTCTGTTGGATTGCTCGCAATTTTTTTTTATCTACTTCACATATCTTGTACTCAACAAGTTCCTGATCCTTTAATCTTTGATTCGATCATGACTTATGCAGTGGCTTTCAGCAGTGGAGCATGCTCTTCTAAAGGGTCGTCATCCTCTTCTAAATGATGTGGATATCACCATAAAACCTTCTAAAGCACCAACATTTGGAGTAAGAGAGAGGCCTGCTTCAGCTAGAAGTAAAGTTCACGGAAGTTCTGATTCTTCTCAGGTATTATTAAAGCATAATCATGGAAATATGGATTCTTTCATGAAGCTCACTCGCTCGGATACTGGAAATGGGTTCCTCGTTTACCCACTCAATACTGAAGTTAATGGAGATGGTGGCGCACTTTATGATAATGCTTTAGGTCACAGGAAATCAGGAAGCAAGTTTTATGAGATGCAGAGAGATGATGAAGTTGGAACAGAAGATGGCAAAAATGAGAAGCCTGAAACAAGTATGGACATTTCAACTGAAGGCGTAGCAAATGCTATTAGTAGTGAAGGAGGTCAAGTCACGCAAACTGCAACCGTAATAATGAACATGCTTGATGTTACCATGCCTGGTACTCTAGATAATGAGCAGAAGAAAAAGGTACCGTTTAACTTAATGTTCAGCTCTTCTATTGGTGGTGTCAGTTAATATTTTATTGATATTTTTGCACTCATTTTATGCCATTACGGTGGTGCTTTTTAACATTAATCATTGAGTCATTGTGTCATGTTATGTTATAGATTTTAGCTTGAGCTTGGGCCTATTTGTCTTGACAGTAAATGAAGCAAAAGCCAAACAAAGCCTTAGCTCTTTCAAGCTCCGTTCATATATCCCAAAGCTGAACCATAGGACAGAATACAAAACACTTTTGTAGTAAGTGTTGACCTCCGTATATATTTCATTACCCATTCGGGCAAGCACGATGTGGATGATGACTGACTAATCAACATCACGTAAAATGTGTTTAAAATGCCTCACCTGCGACTGAAATGACTCAAAATTTACTTCTTTTTTTTTCTAAAAATGAACTGCGCTAACATGTCTGAAACATTAAAAAGACCAAATAAAGTACCTCCCTCTTTCAACTCGATTGAATTCAACAAAAATGGCAGATTACGGACGCACTAATACGGAATATTTATTCTCTCCAAATGAATTTTTCTCTCCTCTCTTCATGGCCACCCCCTTTAATTTTGAATTTAAAATTGTGATTTTTGCACTTAATTCCCATCTCAATTTATATTTGTAAATCTTTTCTTTCAAAGTTAAACCTAAAAGTATTCTTGAAAGCCTTCTGGATCAAGCAGTGGTGTTGCCGTGATGCTGTTTTTGGCCTGCAAGGCGGCATTCTTCTGGAAAACAGAAAATTTTAAACCATATAGAAATGAGAGCTTTTTTGCCTTAGATTTTTCCTTCTCTGATACTTACATTTTGGTACTCCTAATTAATCTGATGCTTGGTTCCTTTATTCATTTTTCTCAGGTTTTAGGTGCCATGGAACAAGGGGAAACATTCATGAAAGCTCTTCATGGAGCGGTGCCAGAAGATGTTCGTGGAAAGATCACAACTGCAGTTGCTGAAATTATGCAAAGTCAAGGTGCCAATTTAAATCTTGAAGCAGGAAAACGGATTGGTTGGATTCCTAACGTGACTTCAGAGCTTAAGTCAAAGATTGAAGGCAAGATCAAAGGAAGTTCACTGAAGGATTTAGGTTATGATGATGGCCCCTTGGAACAAATAAAAGTTGGCAAGTCCAATGTTATTGGGTCTGAAGGAAACCTTGGTCCTTCTCAAGAGAAGGGTGCACGTTCTTCCAATGGTAATGGATCTGAAGGCAACCTTGGTCCTTCCCAAGAGAAGAGTGCACGTCCTTCCAATAATAATGAATCTGAAGGAAACCTTGGTCCTTCTCAAGAAAATGGTGCACGTCCTTCCAATCGTAATGGATCTGAAGGAAACTTTGGTCCTTCTCAAGAGAAGAGTGCACGTTCTTCTGGGTCTATTGAAGCTGGGTCAGAAATGGAAGATAAGGTGAACCATTCAGATAAATCAGATCAAGTGGGTGGCGGAGCCAATGATGGAAGTAGCAGTCAGGATGAAGTCATTGAGAAGTCTGATGCATTTGATAAAAACAGCTACCAACATCTAGCACATGGAGATGATATGAATAATAAAAAAGATGAAGCGGTTGATTCGTCACCACAACCGGGCATATCAAGCTCAACAAATTTTGAGGATACTTCATCTGCTGGTTCTTCCTTGCATCAAATGCCAGGGGAGAAGGGAAGTGAGAAGTATTCCTCAGCAAAACCGACCATATCAAGTTCAACTAATGTTGAGGATTCTTCATCAAGTGATTCTTCCATGCATGAAATGCCAGGGGAGGAGAACGGAAACCCGAAGAATGGTGAGAATCCAACTCAAGATGGTGCAACCCAAAATGCAGAGTATTCCTCTAAATCCGAAGAACCTTCACCCCAGCCTTCATCTTCGAAGTCCAATTCCATAAGTGTTTCCCAGGCACTAAACGCTTTAACAGAATTTGATGACTCCACACAAATGGCTGTCAATAGTGTGTTTGGGGTAATAGAAAATATGATTGACCAACTAGAAAAGAGCAACAAAGAAGGTGATGATGAAGTAAAAAAAAGTGTAGATCAGAGATCTACCAAGGGATTTAATGATGACAGTCTCATAAATGGAGAAAAATACAATAAATTTTTTTATATCAATAACGGATCAGGAATAGAACCAGATTTGAGCCAACCAGCTAGTCAGCCAGAAAATACTTCCAGTGAATCCGGCATAGAATCTTTTGAAGATGTGCATGATAAATTGGGTTACAGTAAGTTCAATTTTAGCTCGGCACCTTTATCAGATAAGTGCATTAAACAATTTGAAGATGATAGTGAAGCTAGTCATTTCGGTAGCACAAAGTTAACAAAAGATGGGGATACCATGGATTTAACGCTAGATGTGGCTATGAAAAGATATTGGCTATCACCTTATGCGCCATACCTCCACAGATGTTTTACACCATTGCCAAGTCAGAGTTCACTGGATCTAGAAAAAGCAACAGATCTGTTCCTTGATCCAGAAGAAGGCCAGTGGAAAATGATCGATCAACCTTCAAATTCCACAATCACAACAGGTCCGAATGGCAAGGACCAAAATGTCTATTTTGCATCAGGACGGAGGGATGTGGCTGCTATAGAGCCATCCCTTATATTAGTTGATGATGAATATTCAAAATTTAACAGTGATTTATTTCAAGAGGATGATGATACAAGTGACAATGAACAGGAGGATTCTATGAAAGTGAAGCTTTTTTCCTTGATCAAGAACACTTTGCTAGATAATTTGAAAGTTGAAGTTTGTCGAAGAATAACGATACCTGATTCAGAAGAACTTAACAGCCTTCTTGCATTTGATTTAGAAAATTTTACTGAGAAAGTATCCCGGGCTGTTGTATCCTTTAGTGACTTAAACTCCTTCAAAGAAAATATTGGTGCTACTTTGATGAAGTTCGGGACAGTGGAACTTCAACAAACAGTTGAAATCATATTGTCAGCATTGCAGGATGCTAGCCATTTGAGAAAAGTTCTTCCATCTGGTGTTATTGTAGGTTCTAGCCTGGCATCTTTGAGGACATACTTGCAGCTAGTTTCTTTAAAAGATTATGCAACTAAACCTACATGTGAACCTGTAAATAAGTGGCAGAGGTCTCATGGTTTTGAGAATTATATAACAGATGAGCTTTCTTCTACGAAGAAAATTGAGAAAGTTGATAATGACCATCATTTGGTTTCAAATAAGCCACTCAGCCAAGGACATGGAAAACTTGATCCAGTTGTTTCAACTAAAGGCTGCATCATGGTTGGGGCTGTGACAACTGCCTTGGGCGCATCTGCTTTATTGGCAACGAACTGTGAGGTAAAAATGAAATCTTTTATTATTACATTACTATGAAACCTTGTTTTTCTAAGCTATATCTTTCACTGCTTACCCATTTTTGGGAGTAATATGTTTGATTCTATGTTTAATCCTGTTGAGTACATACCTTGATATGGATACTAGTGCAATTCATTTTGGATTGGGCGGTATGGTATTGGATTGGGCGGTATGACGCAAGGCATGCTGATGTTTGCTTTTAGATATCAAATTCTTAGTATAATTTAAAATGTTGTTACGAAATGTCAAAAGTGATGAAATCACCCATAACTGTATTTTTCATATTTTCTTATACTGTGAAATTGAAGTGGTGTTGCTTCTTATGTGGGCTTTAAATCACTGATATGATCCAATTGGTGAATGAGGAGCTCTCCGAAGATGCTTAGGAGAGTAAGGCTATGTTTTGTGCAGTTTAAATTTGAGTGTAATTAGGATTAGGAAGAAGTTAGTGGTCGGCCAACCCAATTCCAGCAAATGGTTAGGATCTGGAGCCAAATGACATGAAGTAAAACTTCTTCTCAAGAAGTCCAAATGACATGAATTAACAACAAAATGAAGATTAAGAAGTCTGGATCTTTTTAATTTGGTAATTTGTTAGACTAGTCCCTTTAGGATCGGTCCAGCCAGTCTTTTCTGGACGGGATCTAGGCGGAATAGGCTTTTGCTAGTTTGAGGCAGAACAAGTTTCCATCTGTTTGAGCTGGAACAGACTTCCGCTTGCAGGATGCATCGCTCTCTTTGGGGTGGGGCCCAGGAGATTTTTCAAAGGGAGGCTAGGAGGGAAACTTCAAATATAGGGGGTTGTTTTAGTATTTGTTTTCTTTTGTTTGTTTTAAGTAGGTTGTTTCCCTAGGGTTAGGGTTATGTGTTATTTGCTGAAATTAGATTGTTCTTAGGGTGTTTGGGTTTTAACCTGCATCTAGCGATTTGGGAGAGTTGGATCTTCCTCTCAAATTGAAGATCTATTGTACCGTTCTTATTTTCTTTCTTATATCATCAATTAAAAAAAAAATCTCTGGTTATTCATCTTGATTCTTTTTGAGGATTGTGTTTGGTGCTACTGAAATTAAATTTTAGCTAAGGAATAGTGGATTTCTATGAGCACCTTCTAACATAATTTTTAGTGGATGATTTATAATTTTTCGTAAGGCTATTTTGAGAATTTTCCTCTTTACCTCTAGATTGAATTTATGTAGGGTTTCTAGAAATTTAGCTTTTTGTGAACAAAAATCCTAGCGAATGTATGAAAATCTAAGATTAGGGTGTCTACTATGGATCTAGAGTTTTTGGTGAATTTCGGAGGAGTTTTGGTTAGTCAAGTTAAGACAAACTTGCAGCTAGGCCTATACTGACTTTGTTTGGAGAATTCTCGTAAAAGTCATAAATGGATGGGTTTAATTTCTAGGAAATTTAGGTTTATATTTTTCTGGAGTGGAGGATAATGGATAGCATAAAACATAAAGAAAAAAAAAATTCAAAAATTAAAGCAAAGATATAATTCTACTACTCACCAAAGTAGTAGTCCTAGAAAGGATCACCAAACCCTTTCTAATTTGGCTAGCCACCGAGCTCCAACCATCAATATTTTCTCCAAAATTTAGTTATATACAAAACACATCAATCTCTTCATTCCACGGCCAATTAAGTATTTATACAAATTACACTAGATAATTTTGAAATTGGAAAAGAGGAGAGAAAGGGGAAGGGGATGACCCACAATAGTAACCATCAGAATTAGGATGGCCCACACTAGTAACCACTATAACTTCTCCCTCCTGGCTGGCCCCTACACTCCTTTGTAAATTTTCTTGGCCAACCCCTCACTTCATGCATGAAGCACTTAATTAACTCAATTTAATGCCTCTACTTGCTAATTAGCACATGAAATCCACAATACAAATAGTAGGTTTTACTTGCATTTAATTACAATACCATATGAGATTTTCAAACACATAATTAAGTAAAAAATATAAATAAAATTTGTAGCTTATAGTCTTCAACTTTCTCCTGGTGATGGGTCCACTTTGCTCAGGTATAATGTTTTTTGGATTGAGCTCTGGTGGTTGGACCCTTTCTATCATCTGATGCTTTTGATGTTCCTTGTGCGACATCATTAAGGGATGAGTTAAAGTTACAAATACAAATAGAAACAAAATTGAACCCCATATTTTCTTCCAACACCTGTATCAAAGTACCCATCAGGGAAGTACTTTAAACCTTTTCTCCAAAGGATAAAGAAATATTAACCAAACTAAAAAATAAACAAACTATAAAATGAAGAAATCCTGGACCATAGATTGGATTTTCGATTTGCCATTTTGGGCATGAGAACTTCACAGAGGCTCTCTCACTTTGGAGGCTTTGACCTTGCTGCCGTGAGTGATGAACTCAACGGAGAGAAAATGCCTACTGACCAGCTTATTGGTGAGTAAATTGTTAAGCAGGCTTGTGTTAAGTCTTGTTCCCTATTCAGCTTGTACGGATTCAAGCTATTAGCTGTTATTTATCTCGAGTCTGCAAATGCAAGAAAGTTCTTCTCAATTTCACACAATGAATTGAAGGAAAACGGTGGAAATGAGATTAAATCTCAATTGTTAACGGGTTAATTATGAATCCTCAACCATTGATTTAAGCTTTTCAACCCTTTTTTATTTCTATTAATCAAATTCCTAGCATCCAAACTGAAACGATTTGGAATAAATAATGATGGCTAAATGAAAATTGTAGAACCACAGAACCTTAGGTGAAAAAGGAAAACCTGAGTTAAATTCTTTGATTGAAAACGAAAGTCCATGAATTTGTTCTTTTGGTCGATTCCCCACAAAATTTTATTAATTTTTAACGGACTTAGTATGTTACAATGTGATGGTTTCTATCAGCCATTTTGATCGACATTTGAAAGCTTATAGAATTTCTTAAGTGATGGGATTGTTCTGTTTGCATCTCCGTAGAAGTAGCTGTTTGAAAGATGTGTAAATGTTCAGGTTGTTGTTGGCCAATTGTTTTGTTTTGCTGTTTCAGAAGAAGCACGATAAAGAAGATGATTCTGAAGAAACCCCTAATTATTCTATCCGAAGTCTCTTCAGTGATGATGAATTTATGCAAGAGAAAAGCCAAAATAATTTAGTTAGTAGTCTTGCTGAAAAAGCCATGTCCGTTGCTGCTCCTGTAATGCCTACAAAGAGTGATGGGGAGCTGGACCATGCAAGGTTAATTCTTAATTTATGTCTGATCAAGTTTAATGTACTAGGCTATCATTTTTATGATTGTCGTGTTGACTTTGTTGAGCATATCAAACAGACTGGTTGCAGTCTTGGCAGAACTGGGACAAAAGGGTGGAATACTCAGGTTAGTTGGGAAAGTTGCTTTGCTCTGGGGTGGCATACGTGGGGCTATGAGCTTGACGGATAAGCTGATTACTTTCTTTCATATTGCCGAACGTCCTTTGTTTCAGAGGTCAGTTTGTTCATTTGATTCTTTGTGATTGCAAAACTTCATTATCCTACTGTAAAATTGCGAAGATGATATGCTTGGTAAGTGCTGTCCATCAAATTAGTGTCTGAAGTTAATGTATAGTTTCTTTCAGTGTAAATCATTCTTTTATTTGATTGGGCAAAATCTCTAAAACTGTTGAACATAGAGAATAGTGCATCCAACTTTGATCCTTTGGAGCACATCTCTACCTTAAATAATTTGTGATACCAAATTATGTTAGAGAAGTTTAATCAATTTAATGGAAGTGGAGGAATAAGAAAGGTGCTTTGGCAGTGAAAAATGAAGGTAAAGATAATTTGGATTTTATCACGAATGACCATCAAGTTGATATGAATGTCTGAGTCTATCATTGATGTCATCATCGAACCATCTGAATGATTTGGGTGTACTTTATAAATGTTCTTAAATATTAAAACATGATGAAATTCTCATTCTAAAATGTTCTTGCTTGATGTGATTAAGTAGATGATATGATAAAAAAAAATTAAAAAAAAATAGATGATATGATAGGAAAAACTTGAAGATCTCAAGTGAAAATCTATCAATCTTGGAAAAACAATGAGAAATATCCACCAAACACCGAGGAAAAAACAAAAAAACAATGATTTTATTGCAATAATCAAATATAACGAAAGGAAATTACCAAGATATAGTTGATCCTCAATTCGAGAGGAGGATCTCTCTCTCCCAATCCCTAGATGCTAGTGCCCAAGGCGCCAAGTACTTAGAACAACAAAATTAGCCACATCCCTCTATAGTCCTTGCCGCCCCCTCCTTCCTAATGGGATTCTCTAGTGGGCTCACAATTGCCTTGGGCGGCAATTCCCAAGGTGCAGACCTACTTGGTCAGCCTCATATAAACATGAGCTGGCCCTTTGCTTGGACTGGTTTAACAATATCCCTCTTCCAAAGAATTACCTTGTCCTCAAGGTAAAAGGAGGGGAACTTATGCTTCACCCTCTCATTGGGCTCCCATGTAGCGTCGTAGTCTGGTAGGCTCTTTCATTTGATCAGAACTTCCTTAGTTCTCTCTTCTCCCTGACGAAACCCCATCAACTCTAATGGTTCAAATACCACCTCCAAGTCCTCAGTTAGTGTCACTGGTAACTCAGAACTCGCTGTATGATCCCCAATTGCTCTCCTCAGTTGGGATACATAGAACACGGGATGTATAGTTGCTATCAATAGTAATTTTAGCCGATATACCACCGCTTTAATCCTCTCTAATACCTCATATGGCCTAAAGTAACTTGGGGCAAGCTTCTCATTCCTCCTAGTGGCGGTTGTCTTCTATCTGTAAGATCGGAGTTTTAAGAACACCTTTCCCCTACCTCAAATTGGATATCCTTCCTATGCCCATGTGTCTATTTCTTCATAATATGCTTAGCCCTCAACAGATGCCTCTTCACTTCTTCCAACGTCCTATCCCTCTCCTCTAAGTACTCCTCTACTGAAGAAACGGGGGTGCTACTATGCCCAAAATGCACCATGTGAGGTGGACCCCGTTCGTACAATATTTTGAATGGGGTCATTTGAGAAGAAGGATGATATGAAGTATTGTACCAGTACTCTGCCCATGCTAACCACTTGGCTTACAACCAGGGTGTCTCTTACACAAACCATTGTAGGTATGTCTCCAAGCTCCTATTGATCACCTCTGTCTGCCCATCTGTCTGCGGGTGGTAGGCGGTGCTCATATGTAGTATATATTATCCTCTATAGTATGAATAATTCCCTCCAAAAGTGACTGCAAAACACCTCTTTTTTGTTGAATACTATAGACTATAGTATCTCATATAGTCTGACCACCTCCATGATGAAAGCTGATGCCACTGTTGTTGCCGTGTAGGGGTGTTGTAAGGGAATGAAAAGAGCATACTGATGTGAATCCAGGAATCGAATCTTATGAAATTAAT